GAAACACCACCTCTGGTGGGCAAAGCTGAAATGAGCTCTGCTGTGGGTCAGCTGCTGACAACTGCAAGGAGAGCCCAGAGAGAGCAGGGAGAGGTTCAGCTGCTGCGAGGAAGATTCTGCTCTGATCCCCAGTCAAGTACAGACTCTGGGTGAGTACATCTGCCCCACCCACACCGGACAAACAGTGGCGCTTCCACCTCTGCCCTGGGCTCATCAAAAGCTCCTGGAGCACACTCTGAGCAGGCTCATGCCAAGCTGCTCTTTTGGCATCCACCTCAATGATCACATCAAACAGCAAGGGCAGGGAAAGGCTACCTTGTGATGGGAGGTCTCACACTTGTCTTGAGGCTGGGCAATCAGAGGCAGACTCACCTTCTTAGCTCTGGCCAGCAGCTGCTTGGTGCTGAGAGACATCTCCTTCTGGAAGGCAGAGGGAGTCAGCTAAAAGGCAAAAAACCAGCAAGAGTCTCAGAAATTCCTTTGTTTATGGAGGCTTTTCTTGCACTTACAACTGATGAATAATTTGTGATCACAAGGAACTAGAACAGTTCTGGAAGCCCTGGAAGTTACCTGCTGAAATACTTTGCACCAATAGATTAATAATACAGAGGGCAATGCACATACTCCAACCACATGGCTGTGTCCCATTAGTCTCTGCATGATTTGATGTGACATGTCTGGGGACTTCTGCTCTTTGGGCATTTGTTTCCTCACTGGAGTGAGGCAGTGACCTTTTCAGAGAGTGGGGACGAGCTCTCAGAACTCCCCTAACTCCGTCCCTGCACAACACTCAAAGCTCACAGCAAGGAGATCGCACTGCTGGGTGAGTCCAAGAGATGCAGAAAGCAAAGTTGTACCAAGAGTGAGGTGCAAAGGAATGTGTCCAAGTTTTCATTCTCTCTGCTCATTAGCATTTGTTTTCTCTCTCTGGGCTCACAGGCCCCTCCACAGAAGAAAACAGAGGGATCTCCTTGACAGAGCCTCAGCAGTGGGGCATCTTCACTCCAGTGAGCTCCAGACACCAAGGGACCTCTGTGGCCCTGACTCCAGTGCTGCCTGCAGGGCTGGATCTGCGGCCACACAGGAGATGAGAGAGAACAGCTGGCCTGGAAGCTCTTCCAGCTGGGACCAGCCGTGTCTCTCAAGGCTTTGAGCATTGTTTGAGCTTCCCCCCCCCACATGCCCAGGTGCCCACGGGCAGGTTGCTCAGGGCAGCACAGGTGAGTGTCCAGCCTGACAGAAGGAATTGCTGTGACAAAGGGAAAGGGAAAGAAGCACTTGCTCAGGGCTTCAGCTGCACATTGGTTTCACTTGGCTCCAGTGGCACAGCCAGGCAGGATGCTGGACTGTCCCTGAAACATCACACAGCCTTCCCTGCTGCACCAGGACAGCATCCACCAAGAGCAGGAGCAGGGCACAAAGAGGTGGCGAGGGGGTCTGCAGCTTCACAGCGCTGCTGACAACAGGGGCAGGGAGAGGAGGGACACGAGGGGAGTTTCCAGCCTTAACACAGCCCCAGTGGCTACTCACAGTGTCAGGCTTCAGTCTTTCCCTGCGCAGAAGACGAGGTGCCGGTGTCTTTTTTGGGAATCCAGAAGCCATTTCGGAAGGAGGCTATTCCCAATGAGCAACAAAACTGGAAGGAGCAACAATGGAACTCTGAGAAACCAGAACCCAATTCATGGCACATTCAAGGGATACAGTGGTGCTAAAAATATTGATATTATTTGAACATAACTAAGTGCTTGTTTGGCACAAGTAGCTAGCATTGTTAGGCCTCTAGCTGGACTTTATTTGAACTATATGGCAATGCTGTGCAATTCAAAGATGGCTCATACTGAAACCTGGAGCTAAAAAGCTGAATATTAATAATAGTTAGAATAGAAAAAACTGTAGCTTAAATATCACTTAAAAATAGCTTGAGTGGACCTCCTCTTTCTTTAGGCTAAACAAGCCCTGCTCTCTCAGCTGCTCCTCACAGGACTTGTGAGAGACTGGAATGCTATGGCTAATGGATTAAATATTGTGATAAAGGACTTCTTGCCCATTGCGACAAAACTGAATAAAGAAGCTGAGACCACCCAAGCCCACCCTGCCCTGAAAATGCCTCCTGACTGGAACTTGGGACTGTGAGTTAAACTGCCTAAGGGAACTTAAGACAAGATAAAGGTGACACAACGCCAAGCTCAGGTCTGGGGAGAAGTACACAAGGCTGAGGAAGAAAACTATATCCACAACACAGCCAAACCCAGCAGCTGTCCTGAAAATCAGCTCTGTCTGCCTTCAGGCTGGGGAAGTCATAGCCCCAAACTCATCTGCTGAGGCCAGGTTTGCACAAAGACCTCCCATCAAGAGAGGGGAAGGAGGAAATTTTGGGTGTGCGGTGTCACCTCTGGTAAGGGGCAGTGGACACCCATCCTCCCTCACACAAACTGGCTCAGCTCTAAAACCCCCAGCCCCAGAAGGCCACATCCAGGGCACATTCCCACCAGGGGCAGCTCAGGGGGTGTCATAACTCATCAAAGACCTCCAAAGTGCCCCCAGACCCTTCCCTGAGACCTCGCACCAGATGACTGCATGGCAAGCCACGTAACACAACAGACCTGAAAATCCACAACCCAATTCGTGGCAGACCCAAAGGATATACTGGTGCTCAGGATTTGGTATTACTGAAAAGTAGCAAGAGACAGAGTCCAACTTGCCCGACCCAGGGAGGTACCTGGGCAGTCCCACCTTGCCCAAATCTGCATTAATCCACTGGAGTCTTACGTTTTGCGAGACCTCACCACAGAGAAAACCAGAAGAGGATTTAGTGGGATGGGATAAGATCCATGGAATGGTGATAATTTTCTACTAAATCTGTCTCTGTCACTCTCTTTCTTCCCCCCTTCCCAGGCCCTCCCTCCCGCCCCCACTCCTTTTTCTATTTCTTTCTCTCTCTTCCTCACATTTATTGTTACATAACATCCAGACTATCGACTTTGACATATGGTCTCATTTTGCACCTTAATTCAGGGGCATCTCCCTAATCATTTTAAGAACCAGATCATAACAACCCACCAAAACTTGAGCAGAACTCATTCACCTTTAAGCAGCTGAAGTAAATACTATAGGGGAAAATGGATAGACTAGTATATTTAGGAAATGTTCCATTTCTTCCGTGAGGA